ACCTGGCTCTTCCGCCAGGCTTTCCCAGAACACTAAGATCTCTGCCTCCCTTTTACCATCCTTTTTGCCATCCTCTCTATCACCCCCTTTTAACCACCTTCATTACCATCTGTTTTAATTTATCCTATCTGGCTATGTATTAATTTATTTCTTATCGTGTTTTAATATTGTTGCTGATATGGTTGTTAGCCACCCAGAGTGGCCTGCTTGTCAGACAGTGCGGGATATAAATTCAATCAATCAATCAATCAATCAGCAGCCGGAGGACGGCGCTTTGCCTATCCTACTTCTCGAACAGGGGCTCCCAACCTTGGGTAACCCAGGTGTTCCTGGGCAGCAACATCACCACTGTGCTGTGCAGGCAAGGCCTTCTGGGAGATGCTGTCCAGGACCCTTGGGGTTCCCCGAGGTTTGGAACCCCTGTTCTAGAAGGTGGTGAGATGGGGCTGTGCTAAGGTGGAGAGCCGACGTATGTGAGGTATGAAAAAGGACTTGCTCACACAAAGGTTCCCATGCACAGATGAAGCAGACCCACACTCACACCCACACCCACCAGGCAAGGGCACATTCTGCTTCCTTCCCCTCTATAGTAAGGAACCAGAGAAAGTACAGTACAGTATATCCAAAGAATGGCTCCGTGGCTGCGGGCAGGAGCAAGACAAGGGCAGAGATATGGAGCCCACACAAGCTTCAGCCTTCTCTGCCCCTGAAGACAAACTGCACTCATTTACACAGGTAGACATTTCTGCACGCACGTTCTTTATAACATCTACAGAAAGTAGCCTCTGGCAAAAATAAAGGAAAGGAAGAAGGAGGGCAGGAGGCAAAATATTGCCGTAGTTTTAAAAATATGTTTTGAAAGGGTAGATACTATGCCCTCTAATAATTATACATATCCCTGTGCTGAGGCTTCAAGATTACCAGAAAGGGATGTTGATCCATGAAAGGTCTGTTGTTGTTTAGTTGTTTAGTCGTGTCCAACTCTTCGTGACCCCATGGACCAGAGCACGCCAAGCCCTCCTGTCTTCCAGTGCCTTCCAGAGCTGGGTCAAATTCATGTTGGTAGCTTCGATGACACTGTCCAACCATCTCATCCTCTGTCGTCCCCTTCTCTTGCCTTCACACTTTCCCAACATCAGGGTCTTTTCCAGGGTGTCTTCTCTTCTCATGAGATGGCCAAAGTGCTGGAGCCTCAGCTTCAGGATCTGTCCTTCCAGTGAGCACTCAGGGTTGATTTCCTTTAGAATGGATAGGTTTGTTCTCCTTGCAGTCCAGGGGACTCTGAAGAGTCTCCTCCAGCACCACAATTCAAAAGCATCAATTCTTCGGCGGTTAGCTTTCTTTATAGTCCAGCTCTCACTTCCGTACATCACTAGAGGAAAAATCATAGCTTTGACTATTTTGCCTTTTGTTGGCAAGGTGATGTCTCTGCTTTTTAAGATGCTGTCGAGGTTTGTCATTGCTTTCCTCCCAAGAAGAAGGCGTCTTGTAATTTCGGGGCTGCTGTCACCATCTGCAGTAATCATGGAGCCCAAAAAAGTAAAATCTGTCACTACCTCCATATCTTCCCCTTCTATTTGCCCGGACGTGTTGGGACCAGTGGCCATGATCTTAGTTTTTTTGATATTGAGCTTCAGACCATTTTTTGCACTCTCCTCTTTCACCCTCATTACAAGGTTCCTTAATTCCTCCTCACTTTCTGCCATCAGAGTGGTATAATCTGCATATCTGAGGTTGTTGTTATTTCTTCCCGCAATCTTAATTTCAGTTTGGGATTCCTCCAGTCCGGCCTTTCACATGATGTATTCTGCATATAAGTTAAATAAGCAGGGAGACAATATACAGCCTTGTCGTACTCCTTTCCCATGAAAGGTCACACTGAAATAAATGTTATTAAAAAGAAGACAGCATGCAGACTTTCCTTCCCCATTCCTTTATGTCTTCCTCACACACATACACACACCACTTTAATTTGTCAACATGCTGAAAAGGACTATTATGACACCCTCGATGAAACAGAACGTCTATTCCCTATGATACATTCATATTTGGCTGATGAATGCTCGTCATATTAGTGATGGGGGGCGATGCAATACGTAAAAGTATCAATCACCCTTACCTCGAATACTGAACGTACAGTATTTGTTTACAGCATGTGTAACATTGAAGTTCCAATTCAAACAGGAGACCAGGGGGCGCGCGTGTCTCTTTCACCCTCCTCTAGTGCAGTGGGATCACTCTAGCGCATTTCATCTCTATGGTGGTAACCCTTTGTGTGGCGGCGAAGCCTACATTTCTACCTCTTGTGTTTACTTCGGGATTCCCCACGAGGACTGCTCTGGGAATGTACCTGCCTTCACCCCACCCCATTCGGGGAGAGTCGGCTCTATAGGAAAGCTCTGGCGGGGTGTGGGTGGCTTGCTGTCCTGTCCTTGGCGGGCGTCTACCCTCGCGTTAGCCGGGAGGCAGCAGGATCTCCGGTTTTCTTCTCGTGGGAAAAGGCGGGGATCAGCCGCCGCCGAGGCCCCCCGGGCGGAGGAGGCATCATGGGCAGGACGGTGACGGTGGCTACTTGCGCTTTGAATCAGTGGGCGCTCGATTTTGAGGGCAACCTGGAGAGGATTTTGAAAAGTAAGCCGAAGCGCCTAGGCTGCAGAAGCAGGTTCCCAGCAAGGCGAGGCTGGATCTTCGTTTTACAGCCCTGTGCTGGGGGAAACTTTGCCAAACGAGTAGGGTGAAAAGCAACCCCCCCCTTCAAAGCCACCTTAATCAGCCAGGTAGCCGGATTAGAAAAGCGGGGGGGGGGGGGAGGAGTTGCAGCTCTTTAAAAGACCAACAGATTTATTTCAGGATGATCTGATCAGATTTGCTTGCCTTCAGGGTGTCACAACACTTTTCATTCTATTTATGTATGTCCTTTATTTACTACCGTGCAGCGCCTTAAAGTTGGTGGTTCCGCTCAACAAAATCCTGCAAGAGCTGCTTGTGGGATCAGCAAGAAAATGTTTCCCTTGCTTTCAAGGGTCCGGCCATTCCGCTAGCCTTACTCCCTTCGGGGGACTCTCCTTTCTCTTCCGCGTCCTCGGGACATGTTTTCATCCCTGATGAAGCCTGAACTCCAGAGGCATCAATGTTGAAGCTGAGATTGTCCTACTTTGGGCATATCGTGGGAAGGTAGGATTCTCTGGAAAAGACAATTAAGCTGGGATATGTGGAAGGCAGGAGGGGAAGAGGAAGACCAAATATGAGATGGACCAATGCCCTAAAGGAAACCACAGGCTTGAGTTTACAAGAGCTGAGCAGGGAGGGCAGTTGAGGACAGGGCATTCTGGAGATTGCTCAGTCATAGGGTTGCAATAAGTCCGGGGTGACTTGAGGGCACCTAACAATATAGACACCAAGCGGTGTTTTGAGTCCATTGCACATCCGCAGTGCTCTTTTGTATTAGCTCTCCTCACCTTCGTCTTAGGACTTGCATCTTAATTTTCTTTGGTATTTATCTTGAAGTTCCCTTGAGCTTGCTGTTACTTCCTTGTGCATGGACAGTGTCGTTTTGGCTTCATAAGATGCCAGACTGAGTGAATAGTTTCCTACGGTTACGTAGGATTATTTGAAACTGGCTATGCAAAATCCATCTCTTCTGTGTGCTAGTAATGAAGGTGTATTTTTTAGAGCAGTGGGGAGAGGTTCAAAAGTTTGTAACTATTGTTGTTGTTCAGCAGAGCTTCTTAACTTCCCCACCAATCTGAAATAGCCTCAGATGGTACAATTCTGGATATTATATTTTAATTTTGCGTTTTGTGTAAACTTAACTTGTGTCTTCGTAAGTGTATAATGTGTTTATGCATGAGACATGAATTGAGGACAGGGAGCAAATAACCTTTGTGGTGCAATGACAGGAGTGAGGAAAAGTGTGATTGATCTTCCAGTTGTGGTCTAGAACTCCCATGAGCCGTAGCATGGTGGACGTTGTACTGTTAATGGTTTTAATTATTGCCTGTAACCACTGTGATTCTAACATGGGTTATTTAATGAGGAAAAACAAAGCCTAATGCAGTATAACAAGGATAGGGAACTTTGAGACATCTGGGCCACATATACCCACCCTGGAACTTGAACATCAGCATTTACAGTACTTCCCTACACCTACTCTGAAAATATCTGTTGTTGTTGTTTTAGTTGCAAAGGCCATTTTACATTTGGCGGGATTGTAGTAGATGAGGGTGGTGTGGACCCAAATAGGGCAAAATTTCCCCAGCTGATGTTATGTGCTACCAAGTCACTTCTGACTTATACGAACCCTGTGGAGACCTCCAATATGTGCTGCTGTTAACAACCCTCGTCTGGTTTGGGAAACTAAAGGTCATAAATTTCATTAATGGGTTGATCCATCTCATGTTCAATCGTCCTAATTTCCTACTTCCTTTCACTTTTCTTAGTACAGTACAGTACTGTATTACTATTGTCTTTTCCAGTGAGTCTAATCTTTTCAAGATCTGGCTAAAGTATAATAGCTTTCCTTTTGTCGCTTCTGATTTTGGAGAGTATTCAGGCGTAATTTGATCTGAGAACAATTATTCATCTTTCTTATGGTCCAGGGTATCCACAAAGCTGTTTTCCACTAGCATGTTTCAAATGAATCAGTCTTTTATCGTGAGCTTTTGTTGCTGTTCAGTTTCTATATACAGTACTAATTGGAGATACTTCTTGTTTGTTTGTTAAACCTCCAAATCACCCATCTGACCTATGGTCACTCTGGACAATGTACAAAATTAACAGAATAAACATAGTTCAAACAAACAACAATTAAAACAAACAACAATTAATATTAATTTAAAAACAGATGGTGACTTTAGATGTTAAATGTATAACTTCAGTGGAGCTATTAGGATGGTATGGTTTGAAAAGTCTGTCAAAAAGAGAAGAGTTTTTAAAGATTAGGGGTTGTCTTGCTCTTTGTCCCCTTTAATACATCCTAAGTCTTGTTTATTTGTTTCCTAGCTCCTTCACAGCTGCCCTCAGTCCTGTGATTTCTTAAGTTCCTGTTTCCATTTGGATTGATGATTAAACCAAACTATAAAAAATGTCGGTGCCACACCACCCAGAGGGCATTTTTTTTAAAAAACTAGGTCACAATACTCAGTTGTGCTGCTGGTAAAGCCTTCATTTTTGGATGTGTTGTGCTGCATTGGAGCGAGCTCTCAGCCTTTTCATAGCTTGGTTGAGGTTAATAAGTGGACCTGCCATTTGTAAAGCTTGCCTCCTGCCTACAAGAGCTTAGCATTTAATTATGGTTAATCTATGCATATATATTTTAAATTGTTACTGTGATTAGATCCCAGGATAATGTGCCTTTGTAATATAAGTGGGTAATATTGTTTTGTAAAAATAAATAACAAGAAAATAAATACCAAGAAAAACCAACAAGCCAAGATATGCATATATTATGCAAATATGTTAATTTGTATTATTTGTAATTTGCATAATTATTCTAGTTCTGCTGATGTTGGACTGTGGAGAGGGAACTCTGTAGTGCTGCATCCCAGTCCTTAAACTATTATTCTGCCTGTAATTGGAAACTTAAATGCACATATACTTTCAGGCATACCTTTGCAACTGTAAATGTTTGGATATTATTTTGAAAAATTTCCTGAGAATTACATTGCATTCTGGTCTTAATTATTTTTATTTATTAATTTTTGCTTTGTAACCTCATAAAATTGTCTATACCTCAAACAGTAGGATATTTCTACCAGTAGAATAAAAAAGATGAATAATGATAATTTACCTTTTTTCAAAAAAAGGTATTGAAATTGCTAAATGCAAAGGAGCGAGATATCGGCTCGGACCAGAACTTGAAATTTGGTGAGACCTGCTAAATCTTTTCATATATGTACATGTAATGTTGTACGCTGCTTTTTTGTTGCAAAAAATGTTTGTTTTATTTCATTTATAATCGTGGTTCTGAGTTCCATTCAGGAATCCAGGGCAACTTTAGAAATGCTGTAGGAAGTAGATAAACACGTATTAAAATATGCAAGTCAATGTATAATGATCTTTAAAGACCCTTATATTTTAAAGAAGAACAACATATGTAAAAGATGTATGGCCAGAAAAAGAATAAAGAATAAAAGTGCTACATCCTTTCTTAAAAGGTCCTCGCAATATGTACCTGAGAGGTAGTGAGACCAAGAGAAGGGCGTCTTCAAAAGGTCTTTACATCTCGGAACGTTTATATGTAGAGATTCTTGTTGTTGATATGTGCCATGAAGTTGCCTCCAATGTCCTGTCCTCAACAGCCCTGCACAGCTGTTACAAACTCAAGTCTGAGGTTCCTTTAAGGAGTCAATCCGTCTCGTATTTGGACTTCCTCTTTTCCTGCTGCCTCCAACCTTTCCTAAAATTATTTTCTTTTCTAGAGAACCTTGCCTTTCCATGATTTGGCCAAAGTATGACAGCCTCGGTTTCAAATTTTTGTCTTCTGAGATAGTTAAGATTTGCTTTGCTTTAGGACCCACTTGTTCATCCTTCTGGCAGTCTAGGGTATCTGCAAATATCTCCTCTAGCACCATGTATCAAACAGATCTATTATTATTATTA